AAACTCCTCGTTTGACCATGACAAACGGGCACTATTTGCTTTCTTTCTCTGCCTCGTCAGCCAGGGAAACCTTGCTCAGCCTGCTCGGCCAATTGGCGTTCGCATTGCTCGTTCGGGAACTTCGGCTCCTGCTGTGACGGCCGCTCGAAGCGTACAGCGCTCGATGCGCAATCGCCTTCCCAAAGTGGGTTTCTAATTTCCCAGACTTCTCATGACCACCCAGTTGTTCTGAGGGCATGCCCTGGATGTTGGCCTCTGATGCCTCAGCCATGGCCTCGTCAGTGGCCATATTGGGGAATGGAATGAACAGCCGTCAATGTTCAAGAACCAGAAGAAGAAAGAAAGAAACTATACAGTGCCCCACAAGGTAAGGCCAAAACCAAGGTGTCTCTGCTATATATGGATCTGAAAAGGTAGTCTTGGTGGCTACAGAATACTTCCTTTTTCTGAGATTGCCTCATGAACCGGTGGTGGAATCTACTAGAGTTGGGGGCAATGCAGGATTGAGTTAAAGTGAGGCAACGAGCGAGTGCCTGCTGGGCCGCAAAGGGACCCTCGTTGAATCTCACTTTAACTGAAGAAAAAGAGATGTATGTGCCTTTGATCCGAAGGAATTCCATATACCGTTTACCAAGGTTTTTTGCTCTGTGGTTTCTCAGTTTCCTCCTGTTCGTAGGTAAATATGACGTTGGGCAGGTAAAGTAGCATGTTATCTTGTCTGCAAGACTGCATCTGAGCTGCCTTTTATTTTACAAAGTAGGAAAATTTGTCCGGTCTCCATCTCCAATGTCTTTGCAGCCATTATCCCCTAATTACCGGTGCCTTGGCTTCACGAAAGATCAACCACCTGAAATACATTTTTTTTTAAAGTGATCTCTTATATCGATTACAAAAATATATTGACGAAAAATATTTTCATCCGTTGATAAGACTTAGGCGTAAATTATTATTATAACGAAAATATTTTCCATTTACTAGAATTTGTAAGCGATGCAACCAATTATTTTCATAAATGAGTTCCATCATACCTACGACTAGTTGGTATGTGAGCCTCATGCCTTTCTATTAACGGCTGCGGTTCAATATTGTTGATCCAATGATCAATAAGATCCGGGAGCACGATGGGGTCACGACATGTTGGAAACCCCAATTTACCGATTCATGCGGAGTGCTTAACTCTATTCTGACGAGGAAGACTACAGAGGGGAGCAAAGTTTTTCCCTTCAAAGCACTCGGCCTAGATTGGATCTTCCACAATTTATCAAGGATGAAGGATATTGCAAGGGTATAAATAACTTCAAACACACATTCATATGGTCCTTAAAATCCGATTTCTTTTATCGATCCAGACCCTGTTTTGAAGCAAAGAAAGATAGAAAACTAATTTACCCCAATGATAAAAACTTGGGATGTAATTAGTCTAAATCAAATGTTTTACTCGACCCGAGTCCAAGACATAGATCAATTAACAATAAGAAACTAATTGACTAAGCACTTTACAAACTAGTTGACTGCCTATCTTTATTCCTTCCCAAAGCGGAGCGTTTCGTGAATCTCCCTGAACATGGGGTGTTTTCATTTGAACATACGCACCCTATGCTCACTTTTCAACGGAATTAAGGGTGTGTTTGCTTTAGGGAAAATTTCATGATAAAGAAAAATGCTCTTTGGGAAATTATTTTCTAGAAAAATGTTTTCCTCTTTCAGGTTAGGGAATTCATTTTCCTAACTTTAAGCATGTATATTTTCTTTGATCATAATGGTTTTTCGTTTAGTGATTATCTTCAGCAAACCAAACGCATGACAGTTCATATGACTAATTCATGAAAAATGCTTTCACCCAAACAAATGCACCTTGAGAATATGTTCTGTATCGGATGATTTCACCGTTTCGTTAAAAAAATGGAATTTTTTCCTTATGGATAGATTTTTGAAAGAGTTGATTAACATTAAAAACTCTAATTTGAGTTGTGAGCTACCAATATTCATTTATCTTGCTTACAAACCCTCAAAATTTTCCAACTCTTTCCAGAAATTACCAACCTTAATTAAAATGATTGCTAACTTTTCCATGATTAAGTTATCACAAATTTTGTATTGCCAACTCTTATTAACGTTAGTTACCAACGTTTACTTAGTCTTTAATTACCAACTTCACTTACCTTTAACGAAAAAACACGATCGTTTCTTTACAAGTTTTTACTCCCTTTTCTTGCCAACATCTTAAATTAGTCAAGATTAGAGCATGGAGAGCCAAAAAAAAAAGGGCAAATTGAAATAACTCAAGAACAAAAATGAAACAAATCGTTCAGAATCTGATTTTTTTGGGTTGGGTGAGTGTGGAACTTGTTAGTGGGGTGTATAAACCGTATTCCGCTCGATCTGTCAAGTTAAAAGTAGTTGAGTTTGCCTTTTATTAGCAGCTTTTTCTCACAATGATTAACTTAATGATAATCAAAAAAGTGGCTGACAACCGCATCGCGTTCTTGGGTTTCTTCTCATCTTAATTAATTAAAAAAAAAAAAATTTGCCGGGGCCTTTTTTAAAAATTAATTAATTAATTTTTTAATGGGGAGGCTACTTTTTGTCTGGATTGTGATGGGGAAAAGAAGGGCCAATTCTTGCGTATGGTCCAGATTGTATGGACCGGGTTTTGTCGGGTTTGGCGTCTTCTTGTTCCCACCCTTTTCCTTTGAAACTTATCATTTGGTCATTTATTAGCGGCAATTGAAAAATAATAAATACAGAAAAATCCCTCAATGAAAAATAAGGAAAAAAAAGGACGAAAATTAAAAAGAAACGAACCCATAAATTGAAAGTCTACCACATTCTAGGATCTTTGACGGCGACACCGGATCACTCATTGGTGGCGGTGGGCGAAGCTAGTGCCACTTGTCGCCTCTCGGTCGCCACAAGTCATCTGACTATTGTGATCTAATCTGACTATCACCAAGTTTATGGTTTTTTTTTTGCAGTCCAAAAATATCTAGTTAATGATAAAAAATATAAATTTTTTTTTGGATTTATGGTAAAAATAAAAATAAAACCTAGTTTATGATGAAAATGAATTTGGGGTATCGAAGGAAATAGCAAGCAAAGCAATGTTTTGAATTTGGTATATTTAGCGGCAAAAATGAGTGGGCGAAGCCGGAAAAGAGTTTCAATTTTCGGCTCTTATTTGTTACGGAACACTCTTATTCGACTCTTCATGATTTTTTTTTTAATTGCGGCAGAATAATCGGTAAAATTATTTTTAACTTTTAAAGAAAAGGGGAAATTTCTATTCATTCTTTTTACTTTGTTTTTCTCTTCAATAATGGAGGTTAATTTGGACGTTTGGTGTCGATTTAAACAAGATAGATGGATGATAGGATAAGAAATCCCGATTCTTCAATCTATCCATTTGTGACTACGTTAAAGTCGGATAGGATAATTTTTTTTTTTTTGCTATTCACGGGTTCGGAGGAGTCTGAAGAAAAAAGCGAGAAATTTTTTGGTGAATGCGCACAAGGTGTGGGATGAAGGTGACGCTATCCTACCTCCCCGATTTTTATCCACTATATCCGTTATATCCCTTATCCTATCCTAAAAAACAAGGGATGGATAAAACATATCCTATCCGACTTTTATACTCGACTAAAGCCTCAGTGCTCGCGACCCTTCTAAAAGGGCAAAGGACACATGGTTTTGCAGTCGCTAATCTAATCTTGTGGATGATCAAAAAGAAGAAAGGACATCTCGTCTCCACGTCGTCAACTGGCTCAAAGACAGCCTTTCGTGTCTCAAGATGATGGCCTCTCCCATTTTGTTTTCGATTGATTAATGTTGGGAAAGTGGGCAAATTATTCTCCTTTTTCTTTGCACAAAATCCTGTCGCGCAACCTCGATCATTATTTTACCATAATGGACGAAATTGCTCATTGATAATCTTAGGATATTTACGCCTTATTGAAGATATATACATTGTTATTAAGAAGGATATTAAAGACTCGTGTGTTCGCGAATTTGAAAATGAAGCTGATTTTGGAACCAATATAGAAGGGAATGATACGTGATTGACCGTTGCTTATATATTAGGTATAATTTAGCAAATTGACATGCTTCGGTGACAAGAATAAAGAGTAAGACTACTTTTAAGCACTATTAGAGAAGTGAAGTGGGATAATGTTTGTCGATGTTACTTCAACGGCCATGAAACGCATGTGACTTAAAAATTTGGTTAGGGAAGTCCTAATATTTATCGCGGGCAGTCCCGTATAAAAAAGAATCAATTAAGACAAAGATAATGAAAAATTATTCAAGTTTCTAATAACTGAGAAAACTAATCTAGATATCAATGGATATATTTTGACTCACGCAATCGGAAGGGGCCTGCCCATAGAGGTTCTTCTTAGTCATTGAAAGAGATAATATAATACCCACATAACTTTCTCTTTAAAATATAGGGCAAATAAAAAGAGAAAAGAAAAAGAAAAGAGGTGAGGCAAGGAAAAGCAAGAATAGAAAAATAAATAAAAATGAAAAAGGAGAGGGTCGCTGTCCCTCATGCTGATTTCAAAATGGGGGAATATGTGATACAAATTTGGCACATTATCACTTCCCTCTTGCTTTTTTTAATTATTTATTATTTTTATACATAAATTATTTTTTAGGAGTATTTCTTATTTTATTACGAATTCTCTTTTGTCCCAAAAAAGAAAAGAGATTAAAAAAAAAGAGAGAAGAGAAAAGGAAAAAGAAACTATCCGCGAGCCTTATAAACTCCTGAAATCCTAGCAACCCCAAAGCTTCAGCTTCTGCTTCGCTTCCTCCCCCTGCTCTGTTTCACGAATTCTCTCCACATTTCTTAGCATCTCCGGTTCTCCAACCGAACTCCTCCAATCCAGCCCGCAACGATCCAAGCACCCGTCGATCGGTTTCGGTTTCGGTTCCCCCGGATCGAGCTAAGACAAGAAGCATCCGCGAATGATCTGAAGTGGGCGATAGGGCGATTCTTGATCGATCTCCTCTTCTTGTGTTTTTTGGGGGGGGAAGAAAAGAAGATGAAAGTTGTGGATAGGCACTGCGTGGAGTGTCGCACCACTCGAACCCCCATGTGGAGAGGCGGTCCTGCTGGCCCTCGGGTACCCACTCAAAGCCCTGATCTTTCGATCGAATTCGACACCCGATTCCTCTCTTTCTGTGGTTCTTCACTGTTCGATTTCCTGATTTGGTTGGTACTCTGTTTTTTCTTGGCAGTCGCTGTGCAACGCGTGCGGGATCAAGTACAGGAAGAGGAGCAGGGGATTGCTGGGCGGGGACAAGAAGTGCTTCAAGAACGCACCCACCGCCACCGCCACCAACAACAACGACAGAATCGAGGGAGGGCTGGCAGATATGGTGAAGCAGGGGTTGGTAAATCCCGCCGCGAAAACAGAGTCCGAGAGAAAAAGAGCAACGGCGAGCGAGATGAGGTGGAGGTTGCGAGAGGAAGAAGAGGCGGCCATACTCTTGATGGCTCTCTCTTGCGACGTCTTCGGCTGAAAACACGTCAAGGGCGCAAATCTGTTTTTGGCCTTTCGGATCATCATCATCATCATCTTCAACCTCTTGATGAAGCTGCTCTCTGGTGGATGAAAAAGAAATCACCAGTGTAATACGGGGACTCTGTTTCGGTTTCTGCCCCCCACTTTTCTTTTCCTTTGCCCCTGGGTTTCCATACCGAGTTGTGTACACTAGTCTTTGCTAAAAGCTTGAAGAACTCCTTGAAATTGTTCAGAATCGGTCAAATTGGATGCTTTTACGAATTGAATAATGCATTGATCACCCATTTTCTTGTCGATCGGAACAGACGGAATCGATGATCAGATACTCTGTTTGCTGCGGTTCTTATTTTATATCTCATATCTCGCCTACAAGCAGGATCATTTCCTTAGATAAATGGAACTTACATACCCACCATGAGTTGGAAGCATCTAGAGAAGAAGACTTGGAACGATACCTAGTCCAATCGTTTAGTGGGGCGGCGGTGGTCTTCGACTTGATGCGCAAGGTTCGACCGAGCAATCATGAACAGTGGCCATTCGGTGAATGTTTAGAGATAGGGATGTCAAATATTTGAGAATATTCGAGACAACCACCGTTTTATATAATGTGCAGTCGTTGAAAGTCCAGAACGATCCAAGAAATTTTCATCAATGATTCGTCAAGTTCCGCCCGGGAACACTAATATAAAGGTGAGACCAAAGTACACGAGAAAAGGAGAGATATCTAGCTTTCCATATTAAATTGAAGAACCGTGTTGAACTGATTAAAGGAATCATTGGAGTTCATTGCTTATATATATGTAAACTGAATTCAATTCATTGTTTATGTGCTGGAATTAGAGTTATGCCAAAACTGATAGGAGGGCTATTTCGTTTATTAAAGAAACGAGAGAAGTGAGAAGACTCGCCGAAGGGGCACAACCACAATGCGTCGTTCGCCAGCTACATCAAAGTGGCGTCGAGTAAATTGCGCGCTCTATCATATTGTAACTCAGGTTCTAGAATCGTCTCTTGTGGATTATCTTTTGCTAAGTCATCGCAAGCAGTCGGCTCGACACCCTTAGGCTGCGCATGGCAACCAGAATTCCAGAATCAGATTCTGGGCAGAAATTATTCTTTTTTATTATGTGCCTGGAAACAATTTCTAAACATTTAAACGCGTTTGGTAACTACCCAAAATTTCTGTTCTTAGAATAGAAAAAGAACAGAAATGCATTTGGTAACTACACAAAATTTCTTTTTATTAATAATATTTTGAATTTTTTAATATTTATTTATTTTTATTTATTTTTTCTTTCTTTCCTCTTCCTTTCTTGGCCATGGCCGGCCGCCGGCGCCGGCGACTGACCACAGGCCAGGGCTGGCGAGAGTGTCGCGGCCCTCGTCGGCGCCAGTGGCGATAGCGAGGCAAACCTCGCCTTGGCTGGGCGAGGCTTGACCTTGCTGTCGCCAACCCTAGCGATGGCGAGGTCGAGCCTCGCCCAGCCAAGGCGAGGACGGCCTCGCCATCACCACCCTGGTGATAGACCCAGGTGGCGACGGCGAGGCCGCGAGCCGCCCGCGGCCACCTGGCGAGGGCCGCGATGCCCTCGCTCGACCCGAATTGGTGGTGGCGGGTGGCGGGGCCGAAGAACAACAACAACAAAAAAGAAAAAAATAAAAAAGAATAAGTTATGAAAAAATTGTTCCAAAATCAATAAGCTACTTTTTTTTTATTCTTGATTCTATTCCAAAACTAATTCTTGGCACAATTTTGCAAAAATTGTGTCCGGGCACAAAAAATTTAACAAACGGATTTCTGTTTCCAAACTGATTCTGGGAACAAAAGAACATAATCAGTTACTATTTGGCAAGTTGCCAAATAGGCCCTTAGTGACGAAAGGGCAAGCCGGAAAACTCTCTCGCAACAAGGTCTTACACATACGGTCAATTGTTTTCTTTATCTTGCTTGCCATTAGTCCGTCTAGCGACTTTCGATTGGGGTTTGTCTCGGGAGTTAGACCACTTGAGTTATATTTATTTTATTGTCTTGAAGGCAGTCGATGTGTTAGCCATTACCGCAGGCCTTGCCCAGGGCGAAAACTATTCTGCCTTTTTCTTTTTCCTTTTTTTCTAATTTTTAATTCCTTTTGGTTTTCTCGGATATAATCACCCTCGATACACAATAAGTTATCCACAATTTTATCTGGATTTATTTATTTTTTTCTCGCCTTTTTTTTTTGTTTTATTCAAGCTATGTCGCCCAAATGAGTTGAGATTGTCCGGTCTTCAATCCAAGCATAGACCAAAAACAAATTTTTGTTAACTACGACACCGTTGTGTTGAAATCACATGACTTCATATCAAGACGGTGTGTTTTTTTTTTAAATTTTTATCTCAGGTGCATAAGCACTAAAGCCCAATTATTTGGAGGTCTATGGAACACTTTAAAACCTCCATAAATCAATTAAGTTCGAGCCTCTGGTCTGTATAAGTGGCCCTGAGTCAAAGCAGTTCGCATGCAGTTGATGAGATATTAAATATCGAAACTCTTCACATGTATTATTGTCCAACGATCATACGAAATCCATATAAATTCTTATATTGATCTGAAGTCTCAAATTTCTTTTTCCAATTAATCTTTTCCCTATTATTAACGGACTGTATTTTGATAAATGCCACGTCCAGAAATGCGCACCAAAACGCCAAGGGAGCGCCGCACCTGTAAATACGACACCGTAACGTCGGCCCTATCCACAGGAGGAAGAACGAAAGCTTCCACATGTTTCTGGGCGAGTCTCGCAACCCCGCGCCACGCTTTCTAACATCAAATGAACAACCGACACGTGGACCCTTAGAGACGAGGCCACGTCAGCGTGTCCGCCACGCGTCGTCCCTCCACGCCTTCTCTAGAAAGTCCTCGTCAGCTCCCGGTCCCTGTCTCTGCAAATGAAAAGACCATATGCCTCGCCATTGTTGTCATCAAATCGCAGCTGAGAACACGATCGAGTGACCCTTTGGACGTAAAGTGTGCGAGAAATGCGATCGAGATTAGCGGCCATCGCCGGGAGCTCTTGCAGAGCCATGACCGGATCCCGCCGCGAAGCCGCGAGGCGAGGGCTCGCGTCGGTGTCGGCCGGTCGCACGGCCGATCCCGACGTCCACGCGAAAGAGAGGGAAGCCGAAGTGAAGCCCGCCGTTTTCTCCGGAGAACCAGAGGTAGATCGATCATCTCAACTTGCCGTACTAAGACCTCTATGGAAATTGAGTCTGATCGATACGAATTTTACATTCTTTTGTACTTGTAATTGAGCCCGGATGTTGATAACGTTCTTTCGGGAATTCACATTTGTATGGACTCGTTTCGCATACGGTGTATGTTGCACGATTCTGCTGAACAACTGAAATGAGTCGTGTGATTGGCAGGAGACTAGGAAAGTGTATAGCGTGAGCTGCGCGGGGCTGGATGGCTCGCCGTGGCCGGAAGGCGATGGGGAGAACCGATCGCGGGGAGACAGGGGAGAAGCCGAGGAGGACAACAGGGAGTATTACAAGCATCGCAAGGCTTCGCCACTGTCGGAGATAAAGTTTGCCGACACGAGGAAGCCGATCACGAGGGCGACGGACGGGACGGCGGACTCGGCGCTCTACGGGGGAGCGCCGGACGTGGTGGGTTGGAGGCCGGAGCAGCTGGACACGGCGGAGGAGGCGCTGATGCGGGCTGCGAGGATCTGGAAGGAATCGGCGATGAGAGGGGACCCTGATGCTCCGCAGTCCAGGGTGCTCAGGGCTCTTCGTGGTGAAGTATAAGAGCTATGAATTTTCTTTGAAAAGCTTCGATCTGTAAATGAAGTATACTTTTAATAATCTGTTTGAGGACTTCTCCTTCCCGAGAAACCCGCTTAAACCACAGACTTAACTCGTGGCAAGATTCGAATGGGCACATTTTAAGAGAGTTCTACTTGTACTTAATATTGTCCGCTTGCAGACGTGCTGGATCTTTACAACTTGAAAATTTCAAAGACGTGTCCGTTCATGAACATCTCAGATGCATAATTTGGTGCAGAGAATATTTGTAGTTCTTTCCAAAAGTTAACCAATTTCAGTGAAAGGCGAATACCCAAAGCTGCTTGCATCTTGTCCTCATTGATGAGGGACGACACGGTCTTTGAACGACACGGGCAAAACTGTTTGAACGGTATTTTGCCCAATCCCAAATCAAATCAAGACATTACTTGGACATACTACGAAATTCGCCACGTCTCTCGGACTAAGATTTCCAACTGTCGGGCTCCCGTCACCGTGACCAGTATCCGTCTCTGTATAAGAGGGATGACTGTCGATTCAAGTTATTCGGAGAGCCCAGGTCGTCATCATTCGCTTCTTCGGGGCCCGTTTAGGATGGTCTTGTCAAACGGGGATGACCCGAATCGCTCTGTTGGTCATTAGTTGTTCCTGAGCCACCGGTTTTGAGGCAGTGGCGGCGGCCGACGCCGAAGGCAACAATAAGGAGAAAGTAAAAACGGTGTGTAAGCAAATAATTTGCCGTCTCTAACGTTTCGAGCTTAGTAGCTCTGCGTGGAGGCTACGAAGCTAGGTTAATACAGGATGAAACTGACTTAATGACATAAGAGGAGGTCAAAGGAAGAAGCTACATTTTCTTAAAAAAAAAAAAAGAAGAAGCTACATTTTTCTTTCATTCCTAGTTTCTTTCTTCCGATCAAGTCTCCGATTGGTGGGGTGTGTGAACGAAAACGTGCAGTCAGATCAGGACTTTTGCCAAACGTACCCACGAATAGGGGTGTCAAAAGTACCCGCTCAAACATGACCCAACCCGAACCGACCCGATCCAAACAAGGAATTTTCATATTGGGTCGGGTTGGCCTTAACTTGTTTGGGTAACAGTAAAAACAAGGTTTAAACTTGTTTTGGATCTATCCGAGCCCGCCCGAAACGAGCCCGCCCGAAACAAACAAGAGCCATTTGTCCTTCTTGTTCCAAGCGCGCCGGAAACCCTATCATCTTCTTCCAAAGCTCCGGACCGAGAAGTCAGTGACGGACGGAAACCTCCTCGCGACGGGAACTTCATCGTCGCCTTCCCTCCTTCCTTCGACCCCCATATCCGAGGCTCTTGCGAGCTTCGAGTTCGCCCGTCGGAGATCCCTCTCCCCTGCTTCAATTGCCGGATCTCTCTCGCCGGCGCACAGGCGGAGCTCGTGATCGCCGACTCCGAGGAACCGCCGCCATGGCTCCGCCGGCTCCGTCGCAGCGGTTGCCGTCACCGTCCCAGCCTTCCGAGTGTGTCCTCCTTCCCACCCGATCTCATCGCCCCCGCAGTTCCGCGCCCGATCGACTTCTCTCGGAAGAGGAATAGCCTCCGGCTTTGTTCCTGCGTCGTTCGCTGCGATCTTGAGTGATGATCGTGGTTTTGGTCGCGATTGGGTCGGCCTCGGTGCAATTGGATGTCGCATTCTTAATATTTGTAGCGAAAGATGCCCACGAGCCGATATAGGCGCAGGATAATTTGTTTTTCCTGGAGTTGATCGAGAAAATCGAGTTGGAAATTTCAGTTCAATGCTCCGCTTGCTATCGTTTGCGTTTGTCTACGTCATCGAGCCTTCTTCTCGGATTGTTCTGATGCATATGCATTTACTCAGCATTTCCATTTCTTGCATGGAGATAGAAGAACATGCTTACAACTCCTAGTGTTGATATGTGTGACCATAATCTGGATGCTTGTGGTACTATTCATGTTTCTGTCAGTTTCTGGAGCTTTAGAAGAGAATTGCCCAGTTAGCGAGAGTGAAATTTCTCCTATCTTGGTGATTCCGTCTGGTTTGATGTTTCACTTTTTATGAATGGGAGGATTTAGTTGTCCCAAATGGTTTGTTTCGTGATGTATCATTTCAATAATGATTAGTAAACCTCTAAACACGAACCTGAACCGACCCGACCTGAATCGAACCCGACCCGATTGTGCGGCTATATCATGTTTGGGTCTTGTTTCGGGTCGAGCCAAGGACATATATTCATTGTTTCGGATCGAATCGGGTATCATGAAAACCCGATCCGACCCGACCCGTTGACACCCCTACCCACGAACCATATTTTCTTGCACCCTGTCATGGGATTTATATGAAACAGAACGTGATCGCCTCTTCATTTTGCTGATATGACCTAATAATTTGAGGACTGCAGCTTATACCTCTGCAGCTTGAATTGGTGGCCACTTATTACTTTATACTCACCGTAATCTACGGATCGTGGCCCACTCACGCTCTCGAGCCCTCGAACGGCTACTTCACAATCCCGCCGTGTCTTTCAAAAATTGAAAAGAAAAGCCCCTTGCGCGCACTGTCCTTAGCTCTGCTGCTTCTCTCTCTCTCACTCTCTCTCTCTCTGAGGCAAGAAAGGCAAGTAAATGTCGAAAATCAGCGAACCATCTTCGACCGTGCATCCTCCTGACTCGGAGGTTCTCTTCTCTGCTTTTTACATCGACCCTTCCCTTCTTCAAGAGAACTGTCAAAATTCATCGCGAATTTGTTGTGTTTTCTTCTTTTGGCAGGTGATGAGCAACGCAATCCTCATCTTGGAGGACCAGGGAGGTTCGAGCCGGCCCGCTGTTTCGGAAAAAGAGGTCCCGAAGGAGCAGAGGGCTGCGAGGAAGACGAGGAGGCTGAGCCAGGTGGAGACGCCGGAAGCTCTGAGGAAGGCGACGAGGAAGAGGAAGGCGATGCCGTCGGGGGTCGGCGGTCCAAACGGTGGGAAGATGAAGCGGTTGAGTGAGGTGAAGACGCCCGAGGGGTTCAAGAAGGGTGATAAGAAGAAGATCAAGAAGACGAAGATGAAGACGGCGACGGCGGCGCCGCCTGTGAAGAGGAAGAGCTTGAAGAGAGCGAGTTCTTCAAAGCCAGCGAAGAAGGGTGGGAAATAATTCGTGGGAGAAGTCGGTGGCTCCTGTCCTGCGTTCTTTCTGTCGATCACGAGCTCTCGTGATGTAGCTGCTGCAATCTTGTTCATCAAGCTGCTCTGATTTTCTGGTTAATCTTCTGGTTCATGTAGCTTTAACCCTCTGTTTCGCTTCAATTTGGGAGGACTTGAAAAAGTAATTTTTGGTTTATCCTAAGCCTCGTTGATGTGCTTAGGACTATTCTGTGCTGAATATGGTTCTCATATTCAAATTCTCATTTACAATTTATTACCTTATTGAATTCGACGCGAGCAATCATTTGTGATGTGTTTTATAAGAAAAGCTTCGAGCCCAAAAATTTCTAAAAGAAGAAAAACAATCTCTCGTGGTCATGCGTCATCAATTTAGCCGCAAAATGGAGGAATATCGAGTCGTTTTCTTATTTGGTTTTAAAAATTATTTTCGAGATGGTCAAATCATTTGGAAGTTTTGATTTGAGGACCCTCAACATTATTCGTTTCCCTAGTGAACCTGGCTGTACGGTAGATTGCAGGGAACTTTTTATGCAAAAAAAGGAAAAAAAAAAAAGGGTCTATGTAGAAGATACTAAAATATAGGTATCATTTGCAAATAAATAATCATAGGTTCAACAAGGAAATTCTAATATAATCTCTGAACTACCAAAAATAATTAGCAAAAGTCTTTATGTTCCAAGATAATACCTAAGAATCAAATAATTAATGAGTAAACAAAAATCAAATTAGAGTCTGGGGCATTATTGGGTCCATGTCAACTTTTATCAAATTACAAGCACTGTTTTTGGACACTATGCCCTTTAATTGCACCGACAGATAGATAAATCGACATTATTTTCTTCTTCTTTTTTGCGCTATACAAATATCTTTCTGGAAAGTAGACTTAAGTGAAAAATTTGCTATTTTTTCGACAATCGAAATCAAACAATCATTCAACATTCGAAGAATTAAAGGAAGCGAGAGAGAAATTCCAAATCTACTCGGCCAAAATTGACGTGAACCCTTTATATGTGCATGGATGTTCTAGAAATACGTCCTCTTTCTGGGCCATTCCTTTTTAAATTATGTTGCATTTTGTGTGAAAATCGTGCGACTATGGCTATGGCTACGGCTACGATTTCACCTCTTTGTATTTCCTCCCTTTGGTGCCATCATCGGCGCATCTCTCTCTTCTCTTTCTCTGGAATCTGGATAGAATACATAAGAGTGGTCTGTTCGCCGTGATGCACCGTTCGCCACCGCTCGGCTCTCTCTTTCCGGTTTCCCTCGGCTTACGTCGACCTGGTAAGCTCCACCGATTCTTCGTCTTTGGGTTTCCCTCTTCTTCTTCTTTTTTCATCTAGTTCTCTCTCTCGGATCTCTATTTGGTGTCGCAGCGAAATCTGAAACGCATGCAAGCGATCACCAAAATGTTGTTAAATTAGGTATAGATTAGGCATTGCACCGGCTTCCACAATCATTCACGTCGAATGCCCTGCCTAAATCAAGATTTCGCGCTCTTTGCTTAGCCTTAATTAGCTAAGATGATGGAAGGTTTAACTAGTTCCACGATCACAAGGGTCCCTCTAGTCTCAATCCTTGATGGAAAGTGGTAATCTCTCTGGTTAAGCACTTCCATTATTTGAATCTGGTTTCGAAGATGGAATCTGAATGTTAGTTTGGCTTTTGTTAAAAACATATGGTTGGCGGAAAAATAAGTTCGACCCGGTGCACTAGGTGGACATCTCGATAGGTCGAAGATCCATTATATGAAAATAAGCAAATCAAGAAACGCAATCTCTCATTAGGGTGACTTGTTTGGTCCATATATTAGACAGGAGCATTACATGCTAGAAATCTTTCTTGATAATTCGAAATGGGTCTTCGCTAGAGAAGCAATTATGTATATTTGAAGGCAATCACGAACTATAAAAGTGAGCTTAGACCGGGTTCGACTTCTTTTTTTAGTTTTGCAATCAGTATTGTGCCGTGCTGTGCCGAGCTGAGCGAGTCTCATGTTAGATGGTAAAGATCTTGCGATTTGAACTTTTAAGTATATACCCACTCACCACTAGGTACGCAATGTCCATGATTATACACCAACCAAAACAAAACTTAGTCACGACATTGATAAAACAAGAAACTACTTCTGATCAATGGACGGGTCTAGATGGGTTGAATCAGATACCGATCCTGGAAGTCCTCGTCAGACAGCCTAAAATTAAGAGAAAAAAAATACATCAACAACCTATCAAGGTCCTGATAGGAGTAAAACCGAGTCCCAGAAGGAAATTGCTTGTCCAGCTTCCATCCTGTCTGCGCTTTAGGCCTTATTTACTCGGACGAGCGCGGGCAAGGCCTAGCGTGCTGCCGCATTCACGATAACGTTTTGCCGAAAGTAGTGGATCCTTTCGATCTATGGATATTAACGAGCTTTAATCAAGGTACCTTGAGAGAGAAGACAACGTGGAAACTAATTGCACGGACAATTACATAATTTAACCAAACGAAGTACGATCCACATTAAACCTGACAATCAAATCACACAATAATAACGCCAACCCTAATGGTCAATAAATCAACTCACCACAGTTCCCATCCAATGTGGCGCATTAGAGGTGAGACTGTTCCCCACAGCTATTTGCTCGTCGTGTCTTAGTCATAGCCCACCTTTGGACGGTGACATGCCACTCGAAAATGGAGTAGGGGGTACCCTCCTTTCTTGGCACGACCCACTAATGAATGATCACCACCACGTTCTCTCACTCCCCGTTGTGGATCACGAGAAGGGAGAGTTGGACTTTGCCGAAGTACATTTCTCCTCGACGAATTCATCCGACTCATATGTAGATTCATTTTCGTCGAAAGAATTATTCAAAGTGATCGGTAGATCTCGATCAAGTCGTGACATTTTTTTTATCTGCAGAAGTACGAAATTTTAATTTAATCAGGGGATTGGGTATTAGACAGCTTCTTGATTCTAATAGGGCGGCAATGCTCAAACATATTTGGGCCCTATTCACAGATAAAGAGTCGCTTTGGTGCAAGTGGATTCATTCCACGTTTTTTAAAAATAGGAATTTTTGGATTGCCCCCAAGCCTACCCTTTGCTCTTGGACTTGGAAGAAAATCCTTGATCTTAGGAGGGAATTTCAATTACAGTTTGGCTGGAGAATTGGTAATGGATACTCTGCCTCCTTTTGGTATGATTGTTGGCATCCTAGAGGCCCTCTCTACAAGTTGTTTCACGATAGGGAAATATTTCGGTCCAGCATCCCTCGCAATGCCTCGGTAAAGGACTTCTTCTCCTCGGTTTGGCAGGACTCTTTGGTACTGCGTACGGTTTACTCCTGGAATGAGGCTCTCCCCACCCTTGTGGGGGACATTGGGGATAAATTTCTGTGGCAAGGACATCAATCAGGTAGATTTTCTGTTGCCTCGGCATGGGGAATGATTAAAAAAAGAGGACAGATCATGTACTGGCACTCCTTCATTTGGGACGGTTTTTTTATCTCCCCGGCATGGATTCTTGTTGTGGTTGATGGCCCTTAATAGATTGCCAACGCAAGTGCTTTTACTTTCTTACCGAAGAATCTCAGAAGGTGTTTGCGCATTTTGTCGCTGTAGACCGGACTCGGTGGACCACGTCTTTCTTGCGTGCTCGGTCACAGGCTCCCTTGCAGATTTCTGGGCTCATAATTGCGACCTCCTCTGGAGGAATTCTTCTTGGCAAGACAATCTTTTGTGGGCAACCAAATATATAGATGGTGATAATTTCCACCAAAGATTAGCTCGTTTCTCCTTTGCTGCTTTGTGCTATACCATATGGACCGAGCGGAATCATATTCTCTTTAGAAACCGGTCACTCTTTGTACCGGCCATACGCAACCACCTCACTAAGGTGATAAGAGATAGGGGCGCTACCTTCAAGCATGTTCAAGACTCCCCCCACAATAGAAGAATCCAAGCAAACTGGGGTCTCCCCACTTCCATTTTTGACCAACTTTGAGAGATCTCCTTGTAGGTCTTTTCGATTCTTCCCTGGTTGGACGCATCTCTTGTCCTTGCCTTTTGGTGCACTATTGTTGCTTTGTTGAGTCGATACACCTTTAACCTATCGGGATACCTCTTTTGTCTCCTCAAGTTCAAGGGTTTTGTGTTCGATCTCTTTCCTTGTAAATTGCGTTTAGAAAAGTCAATATACTGCTTACCTTACCAAAAAAAAATTTAATTTAATCAGATTGCAGCTTAGTAGTTCTAATTTTTCACAGGAGTAACATGGAGCTCCATTTTCGAATTATTCATCATGTGCTATATCTCTTCCATCTTTGATAAGAGGGGACGATATGATTAGTCTTATGATCGATAAGCTGTGGCTACAAATATCATCTACGTGCAAACTTTAACGAAATCCGTATGCGTGGGTGGTCTCCATTTCTTTAAGTCACACGCGATTTTGCCTGGCTTTCGGGCTTGTCGGTAATTTTTGACTGCAATTAATTTATTGAGATTCCATCCATCTGGCTGGCTGCATCGAATCATGTGATGCAGCTGCTCATGCGAGACCAGATCGATGCTCGCAACACATACATTAACTCCTACCGATGCATGTCCACTTCAGCAAGCTCATGCCTCCACACATTTATGTCTCTCGATTATCCATATATATTTTACACGTTTTTTTTTTTTGCTAAATTATATGCTTCACATGTATATTGCAATATATATATGTGCTATAAATCAACCAAAACGCATCTAGCTTCATCTCTCTCACCCCAGCGCTCTCTCTCTCTTTAATCTTCATATATAGAACCATAAACCAGTCGAGAGAGAGAGAGAGAAGGCTGGAACAGAAGATATGGAAGGGGCGTCCGTGAGTGCGTACAAGGGCCTGAGGGGATACTGGAGGAGGCGGAGCTACTGGAGGCTGGGCGGGTCGGGCAGCCGGCGCCGCATGCGGGTGGTGGAGCTGGGCTCGACCCGTCGGAGGAGGCGGCGCTGGTCCTGGCGGATCAAGATCTCGCCGAAGCTCAGCTGCCTCAGGTCGCCCAGGAAGTTCCTGCTGTGGCCCAAGAAGTTCCTGATCTGGCTCCGCGACGGCTACGTGAAGATGATGCTGGGCATCGCCGACTCGCGGGTGTGCGGCGCGTACGGTGGCGGCTCGGTCGCCGACGCCGGGCTGAGCGGGTTCGGGAGGCGGCCGCCTAAGGAGTACGACCAGCGGGTGATCGTGGAGGTGTACAAGGCCCTGATGGCGGCGCAGGCGAAGGCCGTGACCAGAGCCGCACCGAGTCGGCTCCCGCTGGCGGCCATCAGGGAGGAGTGATTAGCGACATCACGTAACGGAGGATCTGCAGGGGCCGAGGGGGGAAGCCGGAAATGGAGGAGGTCCGGCGAGGGAGCGGCGGAGGTGTCGCCGGAGATGGGCAACCTGATAAGGAAGGCTTCCAACTCTATTTTATTTTTTCCCCTTTCTTTTCTTTCTTTTTTTCTTTTCTTTCTAATCCCGATTTGTAAATTTGCCCTTGTAGTGCAATTGTCTGGCAAAATAAAAGAAAATGTTCGAATGCAATTATAATTTTCTTAAGCAAAAAGGAGGAATTGTAACGGGAGTTGTCATTAGATTTTTCACTTTTGAGAATACAAATTATCTCTTGCTTTGTTGATCAAAGTTTTCCGCTTTTTTCCTTTTTTAGTTTTTCATTTGCTTAGTTCGTCTTCATCACAATTTTCATTTGACGAATATATATGTGCTCATATTTATTTGGCAATCTAAAAATGAAATGAAAAAAATATTTTCTGAAATCCAAATTTGTTGGTGAAGATGTGACATATGTCGTGACCATCATATCATAAATGGTCAACTGTGGAGCAATTTTCTTGTCACGGTTTTCGGTTAGCGAGAGTTCGCAGTCGCTTCACTTTCATTTGTACTTCCCAGTCAATACCACAAGAAGACACATTATTCTCGTTTACCTTCTTTTTTTTTTCCATAAGGAGACAGTGTTCGTAATTTTAGGCCCTCTTTTTCAAGATTTATTAAAAAAACAAATCAAATTACCCCGCGAAAACAAGTGGCGTACCTCTACTCCGATTATCTTTGTGCGGGTGGAATCTTAGTTGATACACATGGACGGTGCGGTTTATGTGCATCTATCGAAGTCGCATATGTTGCTAAATTCGGATACCTCCATTATTCAGAAGACCCGAAAAGAGATTAGTTTATAGGCTCTACGAGGAGTCACATCGGTTGTTAAATTCATCGTTTTAGCGATAGAGAGACTTTTGATGTCAGTGAGCGACGGGTTGGACCATCGGTTTCTAAACGGATTTTATCGGAAAAGAGAAAGATTATAGTGCCTGAGATTTCACGAGGTAAATTTTCCGCCTATGCAAATCGGAGCAGTTGCGATTGATGCTACAACGTTTGGACAGGCAGGTGGGAGAGAACTTATAATCCTAACTTTGCCGAGGTTGGTCAAGCCCGTCCTAATTGCAAGATTAGGTGAGATTTCTTGCAAGACGAAATTGCTTCGAGCATACAGATTGTTCCTTCTTTTTCCGTCTCTCTTTTAGATGATTATGCCGCAAGGCATACCGATTAGGAAAAGTAGGTATTCTGCCCAAGAATATGGACCAGGTGGGCGTGGATCCAAACTTAGAGCTCGATAATCTATTTTCATAGACCGAGTCTTGTTTTCTCGAGAAGAACTCTTGTCAAGAGGCCCTAAAGGTTCGGGGGAGCCGCTTCGAAACCGAGCACTTTCCAAGCTGGCGCCGACTCTTTCGATACACAATCAACTCCCGACGCAGGGATCACGATAAGGAATCGCAGGCGAATCCTACCAGTGAAGAGGCTGAGTTTCGCGTCGCCGGGTTTTCGAAAACCCGGGTTATCGAAGCGGGCATGTAGTACCATTACGATGCAATAAAAAGATGAGCACGATGAAGGGAGATAGTAAAAGTGAGAATATCAAATGGATCGCTTTCATCTAACAACAATTATGTAAAGATTTTATAATGCTAAGTGCTGCGACAAGCGAGGCGGGCATTGTGCACATCTCGAAGCTTTGTGGAATCTTTTCCTAGCTGGATCCGAACGTGACGCATCATGCATGTTTCCTAACTCCAATGCATCTCTAATTTCTAATGCTTCCTCCTCCATTTTTCTATACTTCTTTGTGTGGATTCTTATGGTTCTTGGAGAAGAAGACCAATCTACAGTAGTGCATCGTTTCTTTATCGTAAATTTTCCATCCAAGATGCTGGAGCACGTGAAGACTTGAAAAGAATTCTCAATTGGACGACTAGGATTTTACTATGTTTGATGATCGAAAGTCTATGGATCTTCGAGAAGCTGTTCATCGAGGGATTGTAGAGAACCTAAAATTGAGATGAGACGATTTTTAAATGTTCGGTTTGAGGCGTCAACGAAGCATTCACGGTCTGTTGTGCAGATCCGTCACTGTAAAACCTGCCTAAGCCTAACACGTCCTTCGTAGACTAGCCAAGGCTTTTCTTAAAAATCGGGGATAGACCTAAGAATCGAGGCTGTGACCCTCGGCTTTAAAGTCCGGGACCACACCACCAACCCCTCGGTTGGTTTAAATGCTCACACTTATTCACAATAGCTTTTGCGTAGATATCAATTAATTTCTACTGTTAATAAATTTTTTTACTTTGTGCATACAAATGTAAGTTATAACGTAATCCTTTTATGCGGAAAATTTATTATATAGGATCTTAGATCTTCATGATTTTCACAATAAGAGGGATGAAGACATACCTTTATCCATAGCGTTTCCCTTGAAAATTATTGTTGCAGAAAACGGAAGAAACGAAAAAATCTGATTTCTCTCCCTTACCCACTTTTCTCTTAACGTATCTTATCGATGGAGGATAAAAATACAACGTTCTTTTTCGTGCGTTATCGTGGGTGGAGAGAGGACCAGACTCTTTCTTATATATGCCCCTTCAAGTGGTGATTTCCATCAAAGCATTTCCCACTTCATAAGAGTTGCACCTCTTCGGAGAAACTTTAACTTCTCAATAGAATTATACATTTTCATCTATTTTTCATAGCCAATACGTTTTAGCACTTAAATATTTATTAAACCATTAATTCATAACATCATACGGGCCACATTATTCTTACATTCTCCCACTTGGCCCATATGACCTTCCTTTCATGGTTTAATAAAGACCATAATGTGCACAATAACATTATGCTAAAACCTTTCTTAAATTGCCTATCACATAATAATCATAGTTAAATAAAGAAACTAATGCGAGTCATAGCGGTTGTATGCCATTAATCGACATAGTCCCTTTCATGTACTACAACTATAGCTCTCTACTTAATATGATCCATAAATGAGAAGTATAGTAATGGTCCAACTATAATGTCTCTGTTAGAGACTGTCCTGTTACACATTCATCTATTTCCATCATGTATACCAAATAGAAAACAGGAAATATCAGAAACACATAATTGAGCTCACAGTGTCAAATCAATAAACTTAATGCACTCATAATACAATCATTAATAACATCCAATAATACCCATCCTTTCAACATGTTCTTTAAATATTTTGGGCGGCAGTCCTTTTGTTAAGGATCTGCAATCATAAGTTCGGTGCTAATGTGCTCAATTGACACTCTTCGTTTCTGAACTTCTTCTTTAACAGATAAGTTTTTAATCTCCATATGTTTAGCACTCTTGGAGTACTTGTCGTTCTTAGAGAAGAAAACTGCTGCAGAGTTATCACAATAAATTTTCAGCGGCCTGGCAATACTATCGACAATCACAAGCCCCGAAATAAAGTTCCGCAGCCATATCCCATGAATAGTGGCCTCAAAACATGCCACAAACTTAGCCTCCATAGTAGATGTAGCAATAACTTACTGCTTTGCACTTTTCCATGAAATTGCGCCTTTAGCCAAAAGATACAAGTAACCAAAAGTTGATTTTCTTGTATTGGTACATCCGGCTAAGTCTGAATATGAATATCCAATCACCTCAAGATGATCAAATCTTTTATAAGTGAGCATGTGATTCTTCGTTCCTTGCAAGTATCTGAGAACTTTCTTTGCAGCTTTCCAATGATCTAATCCTGGGTTACTTTGATACCTGCCTAGCATTCCGACAGCAAAACTAATGTCTGGTCTGGTACAAGTTTGAGCATATATTAAGCTTCCGACAACAGATGCATAAGGAATACTTTTCATTCGTTCTTGTTTCAATTCACTTTTCGGACATTGCATAAGACTTAATTTGTCACCTTTCTGAATTGGAACTGCTCCTGCTGAACATTTATTCATATTAAATCTCTCTAAAATTTTATCAATATAGGCTTTCTGAGACAACCCTAACAATCCTTGTGATCTATCACAGAATATTTCTATTCCTATCACATACGTTGCATCTCCCATATTTTTCATTTCAAATTTTTAGAGAGAAATTTCTTGGTTTCATGTAACAAACCAAGATCATTAGTAGCAAGCAAAAGGTCATCAACATACAGAACTAGAAAAATAAACTTGCTCCCACTGACCTTCATGTATATACACCGATCAACAGTATTTTCCTTAAATCCAAAAGAAGTTATGGTATCATTAAACTTAAGATACCATTGTCGGGAAGCTTGTTTAAGTCCATATATTGATTTCTTTAACTTACACACCATGTGTTCCTTTCCTTTAATTGAAAAGCCCTTGGGTTGGTCCATATAAACTTCTTCCTCTAAATTCCCATTAAGAAAGGCAGTTTTAACATCCATTTGGTGTAACTCTAAATCGTAATGAGCCACCAAAGCCATAATGATTCTAAGTGAGTCTTTCTTGGAGACTGGTGAAAATGTCTCTTTATAGTCAATGCCTTCTTTCTGAGTAAAACCTTTAGCAACAAGTCTGGCCTTATATCGTTCGATATTACCTTTTGAGTCACGCTTGCTCTTAAAGACCCATTTACACCCGACCTTTTTGCATCCTTCAGGCAATTCAACGAAATTCCAAACTTTATTTTGATCCATAGATTTTAACTCTTCTTCCATGGCATTGAACCATTTAGTAGAATCATCACATTCCATGGCTTGTGAAAATGAACCTGGATCATTACCAATTCCTAAGTCAATTTCTGACTCTTGTAGATAAACCACGTAGTCATTAGAAATAGCCGACGTCCTTTCTCTTTGAGATCTTCTTAATGCTATTTCTTGTGGCTCAACTACTGTAGGTTCAATATTGACATTTTCATTATGAAGTGTTTGATCATTAATTTGTTGTTCTTGATTATTGTTGGGTTGAACTATAATATCAGGAACAACAACTTTAGAAGTTTTGGGTAGAGGAACTTCCACCCTAACTTCTTGAATGCAAACATCACGCATTCTTTTTTTTTTTTTTTGATAATCGAGGTTTCCGCGCGGCCGGTGAGCTAGGGCTCAAACCAGTGGTGATGCCCGACTAGTCCTCGAGGGGGGCTAGCGCAGCATCCCACCGCCACGACCCTCCACTTAAATCACCGATGGGCGAGTTTTGAACCCAGGACCTCTCGTGAAAGGAACTGAGCGCAAACCAACGCGACCACCGATGGGTGGGTAACATCACGCATTCTTTCACTCCCACTAATGTCAACATTTTCAATGAACCTAGCATTTTCAGATTCAACAA